AAACATTTATACGATTAATAAATTAAAAAAATTTTTTTTACATATTCTTTCGATCCCTTTATTATTCAATTCTTACCGGTGCATCATATGTTAGTCCCCGTGAGAATTGATATGGAGTCATTTTCTTTGGTGGCATGTTTAAAAAAAAAAATAATTTAAATTAAAAAACGTATAAAAAAAAAAATCACATAATGGTTTACCGGGAGTCTGAAGGCAATTGTGAATCATCGGATGAATTAGATGAATTAAATGCTAAGAGAGAAGAAGAAAGGCCACAAATTGTTGTTTTAAAAGAAGGGAAACATTTGAGTGAAAATGAAGTGAAAAAAATTTTAGAATCAAAGGAAAAAAATGAAAAAAAAGGTTTCTGTTTTCTTTTATTTAATTATTATAATTCATTAAGTGAACGACTTAAAGTTTTTTTTTTGTTTTAAAGAATCTTCGTCGGAAGAAGAGGAAAGTCAAGAAGATTCACCAGCTATTGATGAGAAAACCGGAAAACTTCTTTTTCGTCAACCAAAAAAGAAAAACAAAGCAGAACAAGCAAAAAATAATAAATTAGATACTGTCGTGGGTTCGTCAAAGGCAAAAACTAGCAAATCTGACTCTATAAAAGCTGTTAATGAAGTTATTGACGGAATGAAACGTAAAAGAAATAGTAAGAATGAAACTGATGCATCAGTTAGTACAGATAAAAAACCTAAACTTAAAAAAACAAAGAAAACACTTTTGAGTTTTGATGAAGAAGGTGGATAATTTAAATGGTGTAAATAATGATATTAATAATTAAAAGCACTATTAGTTAGGCGATAAATTATCTTTTTTTTTTTATGTATTTCATAATTTTAATAAAAGCCGTATAAACTGCGAATACATATATACCAAATTTGGTAAGATAAAAAGCTGTGTTATGCAACACGTAACTCAGACTTCAGTATAAAAATCTTACGCAGAACATCAACTAATTTCCATAACAAAATGGCGTTTCCATTTCTGCATAAACTTAAAGATAAGCGTATTGTTCTTGCATCAGGATCTCCAAGAAGAAAAGAAATTCTTTCAAATATGGTATTAATAATGCGTTGCCCAAAAAACAATAATGATCTTATCTTTAGTTTTTCTTTTGGTGACGTAAAAATGGTTGGTTTTTAGGGATTAAATTTTGACGTTGTTTCAAGCAAATTTCCTGAAACTTTGGATAAATCAAAATATTCGCCTTTAGAATATGTTATAGCTAACGCAACAGAGAAAGGATTAGAAGTATACAAACGTTTATTAGTAAGTAATCATGATTATTCAATCTTATATTAGTTAATATCAAAAAATTTTTTTCTAAGGAAAAATGAATTTGTTTGTCCAATTTACAAAGGAAGAAGGCCAAAAAATAGATTTAGTAATTGCAGCAGATACTGTAGTGGTTTTTAATGGAGAAATATTAGAAAAACCAAAAGATAAAAAAGATGCAATGAATACACTTCGAAAATTAAATGGAAATTCACATTGCGTTTACACTGGAATAGCATTAATTTATCCTAAAATTGAATCTAGTTATGCAATTTCAACATTAATCGAGAATACTGAAGTTGTGTTTAGAAAAAATAGTGAAGAAGATTTTTTAGCTTATATTGATACTGGAGAACCTATGGATAAAGCTGGTATGAAAAATTAAAAGAGCAAGTTTTTTAATTAATCAAATTTTTTATAACCATAACAAATTAAATCCTTTTTCATTATTCCTTCTGGATGTGATCATATTAAAAATTAATTAAAAGGATCATACGGAATTCAAGCACTTGGTAGCTTATTTATTGAAAAGATTAATGGGTGAATATAACATAATTATATTTTTACTACTGCACATCCGATTCCTTCAATTTTAAGATATTCTTTTTTTTTTAATTATCATATGGTAGATGTTACTATAATGTCGTAGGATTGCCAACAAGCGTTTTTAAAAGAATAGAACAACTAGCAAATAATAATGAAATTTAATTCTGATTATTAAAACTAATAGTTTATTTTTGAATACGTATATTTTATGAATAGATTTTATTTAACTGAATTGTATTGAAAAAAATAAGCCAATATCCAACAATTTATTAGTCTGTCCCTAACAGATTCCAAATAAAATGGTACTACAATTATATCTTAACTGAAAATTTTTTTTCATTTACTGCATTAGAACTATCTTATCTTGATTCTATAATATTAGAAAACATTTATACGATTAATAAATTAGAAAAATTAGAAAAATTAGAAAATAGAAAAGATCACATGTAATTTAAAATGATAATTAAATTTATTTCAACTTATAATAAGAGACTTACCGATTAGAAAAACTTTACATATTTCAAAGACTTGTGATAAATTTGCGTAAGCCCAATGCCCCATATAGGCACTATAATCAATGGCTTATTCGGGTCATTCGGTATTCGTAAAGAAAATACCAACTTTTTTAACCATATTCTTACACAGGAAAAAGGTCGATTCGTTTGTTGAAGTGGAAAAGATCTTTCCACAGTATGATCATAAACATCATTTCCGTTCATCTCAATATCATCAATAGAAAAAAATGCACCACCCGATTCACCAATATAATATTCAACATTTTGATCAGCCTGAGGTCGAATCTCTTTAGAAATTCTCTTAATCATTACATTATCCAAGTTATTGATAAATTTAAATTCCCAATTATTATCCGAAATTAAATCCCAAACTATATTTCCAGTAAAAAATTCTGCTTTAATGCGTTTATCTTGAACAACGTGCATGACATCATCATTTTCAATATGAAGATTGGTTGGATTGACTTTTTGAAAATTGAAAACAGTCTTTTCTTCACGAGAAAAAATGTCTATAGCAGTTGGGCTAGCGCCAAAGTAATAAAATGGACGAATGGAGAAGAAAAGCCCTTTAAGTTTGAAAAAACACGCATCTTGCGTTAAGCATTGTATGAAATTATAAAGATTCCAGCCCACAGGTAAGTTTTCTTTTATTAATGGAAAGATGTTATATCCTCTTAGATGTTTGGCTATAAATTCAAATACATCAGGATCACGATCAAAAAAAACTTCGTCTTGAGACTCTGACAATAAGTGTTCGGTTAAAAGATTTGGTGAATCACGCGTTAAACTGAAAAAAATAGTTTTTTTAGACCTCCTATACTGTTTATGATAATGCACATGTACTTACTACTTACTTATCAATAGAAAATTGGAAAATTCTACCGCCAACGTTAACTTTGTACTCTTCCATTTTAGAATCTTATTGAGTTTATAGCAAGATCATCAACAAATTTTAATTCGATGTACTGTACGTACGTATATATCAGAGACTCGTGTTACGTACGTATGTATCCCCTATTATTCACGTGTAGGGTTGATCCGAATTTCCGCAGTAAAACATTATCCGATGACGTGATACTGTATATTGATTCTAATACATGGACTTATTTTACTGCACTAGAATATGGGAGTGTCAATAGAAACCAAACAATTTGTTTTTTAGAAATAAAACTTTAAATTAAACCAATTATTATAAAATGCACCTATGGTGTTTAGCACCATATATAATTGTTTCTAATAAAATTTAGGGTTAGGGTGCATTTTTATGAATTTTTTTTTATATATTATTGGCTGGAGCTGAGGGAACCGACTTTTTAGAAATGTCCGGTTCCCGGTTCAGCTGGTCCTGATTTAGGTTCGGAATCCAAAAATTGAACCTAAAATTAGGATCGATTTTGGATACGAAAACGTTAATTTAAAATGTAGCTGCTAACTTTAAAATCATTGTAACAAATAACAATGAAAATTTTTTTTAGCAAAC